ACCACAGATGCCCACAGTGCTTGCCTCCCCCCTGCCCTGATTTGGGGTACCGTAATTCAGGAAAAGAAGCACACATCTGTGTTTCAGGCTGCTGGCACCGTCAGCTATGTCACCATCCAAGCAGGATCTGTAATTACTCCAAAGTCATGTGGCACCTTCTCATGGTCCACTGGCAAAGAGTTCTGTCAGGAAAAGTCTCTCCTGCTTCCCAGGCCACGCAGACAAAGGGAGCACCCCAAAGCTACATGGGCCTGTTCTACCAAAGCTGCAGGGGTCTGCACTCTGGCCAAAACTGCTTGGTTCTTTCTCTAATGACTGTGGAGAGGGTAGGGTCACCAATCTGTCAAAGCCCAGTGGAGGTTCTCTGCTAAAGCCGCATGGTGATTCTCTCACATGGCTACGGGAGTTCCCATTCTTGCTGAAAGCGTGTAGTTCTCTCCCTCACATGGCCAAGAGGAGGTCCTCACTCTGCCAAAGTTGCATGGCTCTCTTTCACCTTAGCAAGAGGGGGTCTGCACTCTGCCCCAAACCTCATGGCTCCCCCCCAATGGCTGCCGTGTCTGGGTTTAAATCCCTGCTCCAGTCCTCCTTTGCAGCCCTATTTCTGACTCCTCCCACAATTGGTTATACATGCCAGGATTCCCTTATCCTCCCAGCTTTACTGGGCTGCTATAGTGAGTCTGGGCAGGTGTGGCCCCATGGTGTGGAGCCAATCAATGCCAAGCTCTCATGCGAGTGCTATAACTCAGGGGACCAGTTCCCAGTTACATGCTGGGTAGAAGTCACTCCCTTCTCCCTGGCTCAAAGCCTGCCCACAGGGATTTAATATATCTATGAAACCAGTTAAAGGTTATAGATATGTTAAATGACCATCCTAGAGGCTGTGAAACTGTTGCTATGCAAAACAACTCTTAATGTTCCTGCTCCATTTGTCCCTTCTCCCAACTGACACCTGTGGGGGGCCACATTAATATTTCCTGGACACCTTGAGTTCTGGACCCCATTCCAAATCCCTTTTTTTGGGGGATCCCCTCTAAGCTGCACCCGGTTACAGTGTTAGACAGTGTTCTATATCTTTGCCAACTGTAATAGTTTACAAACAAATAAAGAAAGAAAATAAAACACAAACAAAAATGAAAATACTGTGTTAAATAGCAGGAGTTTACTTTCTCCCAGTACCTGATACTGGAAATCCAAGATCAAGGTGCTGGCAGTGTTGGTTTCCTGTGAGTCTGCTCTTCGGTGAGTACCGATGGCCACCCTCTTGCAGCTCTTCACAGAGTTGTCCTCTACACACACCTGAATTTGGTGCTTCTCAGCCTCTGTTATCTGCATCTTAGTCTTTTCTTATAAGAACACCATTCATGTTGGATTAGAGACCACCCTACCAGCCACACTTTAACTTAACTTTGGACATAGGGCCTTTAAAAAGGCCTTTAAAAAGGCCCTATGTCCAAATAAATCACAGTTGGATATACTAGGGTCTGGGCTTGAATATATAAATTTGAGAGGGATGGACGTATTCATCTCATAACACTACGAGTGGTCATTATCTTGTTATAGAAATCTTAGTGGTTTTGAATTGGTAGCTAATTATTATTTTGTTTTGCATTTTTTAAGGACTATGATATGCAGCTTTTCCTGTGGTTATTGGACATTTGTTTATCTTCTGGAGAAATGTCTATTTGCATCCTTTGCTAACTTTACATATTGGGTTATTTGTCCTTTTAATTATTGAATTGTAATAATTCCCCATATGCTTTATAAATGACCTCAATATATATGAATTGAAAATGTTGTGTCGCATTCTGTTTTACATTTTTAGTTTCTTGGTTGTATTATATTTAGCACATTTTTTCTTTTCATTTTGAAGAAGTCCAATTTGTTTTTTTTTCTTTCATCACTTGTGCTTTTGGCGTTGTACCTCAGAAACCATTCCCTAATCCAAAGTTACAAGGGTTTACTCTCATCTTTTCTTCTAAAGATTTTTATAATTACAACTTTAGCTATTAGATGTCAGAATATAACCCATTTAGAGTAAATTTTTGTGTGTGTGGTCTGAAGGAGGGGCTCAATGTTATTCATTTGCATACAGATAAGCAATTATCTCCATAAACTTGGCTGAAACTATTATTCTTTCCCCTTCTAACTGTGGAAAGTAGGGCTTGCTACTGTTCAATGGTTTATGAATTTATCCATAATGGTTCTTCCATTTCAGGGAACTGATTGAGCCCTGTCAAAAAAACTCTTCTACCAGGCTGAGGGGTGGCAGGTAGAGAGAGAGACCATGCATGCAGCTTCAAGCTGAAATGTCACTACCTCCCACTGTTCTTAACAAATTTTAATAGTTATTATTAGAGAAATACTTTTCAATTTATGTAAGCCTTTTCCCCAAATCCTAGAGAATTTTAATAATCATCTTTTTCTGATTCTCACCAGCTTAAAAATTAAAAATAGTTATATTTTTATATATGCATTACTTCTTCAATCTATAAACAATTATAGACTGGAGTGTCCAAACACAAATGTATTGAAATCCCAAGGCACTCCTAATTGTTGTAATAGCCAAGCAACTCACATAGCTCACTAACCTGACTAATTTCAAATGTCTCCCTTTGGCAATGTATGTTGTTCCTCAAGCTACTATAAAAATAATAAGTTGATTAGCCAGCAGCAATGTCATGGTTATAAATTAGTTGTATGGTATTTTAAATAGCTAAAAAATTCATGTGGTAAAGTACACCTAATTTAAATTCTGAGGATTTGCTCCGACAGAGGCAGCACTCATTAGAAACAGCAAATGCAGTAGGCGGACAGTGCTGAAGCCTCACAGACAGTGCATTCAAACACAGACAGGACACTGGTGTTTAATAAGCACAGCAGGTGAACAATTGGATTTGAAAGGGAAATTAACTGGCTTGACCCCATGTTAAGGCATTTATTGTGTGACTCTGCATTTTCTATTCTATGATTACTGCAAAGCTCTTTTGTAAACCCACATGAAGAAACACTACTAGAGCAATTGTTCATCAATTAAGTAATGTAGCCACAGGAGAAAACAAAAATAAATTTTTAAAGGAAGTCTGATTCCATCTGCTGCTATGTTCAAGCTATTGTTTTCTCTGTAATCTTTCGGTCTTTATGTTGTGAACGTGTAGTATGAATTATTTTCTTGCGCTCAGACCATTTACTGATGGTTGATAATACGGTAGAGTGGAAATTACTAGGACTTGAAATGCTACTTTTCAATGTAATATACTGTTCAAAAGAAATATTTTGAGCATTTTTGTGTCATTCTATTATTATTTAATTTTTTCATAGATTACTTAACATGCTTAAACTTCAAAATAAGACATTTTGCCATTATGTTGAATAAGATATTAATTTCTTTGAACCATTCTCTTTTAATGTCTGGAAGTCAATAATTTAGTGTAAACATGTTAAAAGATCAGTTGCTCCATTAAAGGAAAGACCAATATTTACTGAGAAGAAAGATCCAGGAAATGGGAGAAAATATGGTAGGTTCACCGGTGGTATTTATTATTAGGCATCTAACCATTATACACATACTTATTTATGGATACTAAGTAAATAATCAGGGAGTTACCCTAAAATTATTCTAGCCATACTCCTATTTAATTTATTTTTAATTTTTATTGTTATTTTATTACAGTTGTCTCAATCTTTCACCCTTTACTCTCCTTCACCTAGCCCACGCCCCATTCCCACAGTCAATCCCCATCCCGTTGTCCATGTCCATGGGTCATTTATACATATTCTTTGACTAGTCCCTTCCCCTTCTTTACACCACTATTCTCCTCTTGCATCATTGTCAGCCTGTTCCATGTTTCCATGCCTGTGAATCTATTTTTCTCATTAGTTTATTTTGTTCATTATATCCCTCTTATAGGTGAGATCATATAGTATTTGGCTTTCATCTACTGGCTTATTTCACGTAGCACAATATTCTCCAGTTACATCCATACTGTTATAAAAGTTAGGAGTTTCTTTCTTCTTGCTCTGTAGTATTCCATTGTGTAAATGTATCACAATTTCTTGTTCCACACATTCACTGATGGGCATTTATGCTGTTTCTAGCACTTGGCTGTTATAAATAGTGCTGCTATGAACATAGGGGTGCATAAGTTCTTTAGAACTGGTGCTTCAGGATTCTTAGGGTATATTCCCAGCAGGGGAATCACTGGGTGAAAAGGTAGGTCCATTTTTAGTTTTTTGAGGAAATTCCATACTGTTTTACACAGTGGTTTTATCAGTCTACATTCTCACCAACTAGGTAAGAGGTGAGAAAAGTATTCCCTTTTCTCCACATGCTCACCAGCAATTGTTGTTTGTCAATTCATTAATGATGGTCATTCTGACTGGTGTGAAGTGATATCTCATTGTGGTTTTAATTTGCATCCCTCTGATGGATAGTGATGTTGAACATCTTTTCATATATGTATGGGCCATCTGTATGTCCTTCTTGGAGAAGTGTTTGCTCAGGTCCTTTGCCCAGTTTTTAGTTGGATTGCTTGTCTTCTTAGTGTTGAATAGGATCAGCTCTTTATATAGTTTGAAGATCAAACCCTTGTCTGATGTATCACTGGCAAACATAGTCTCCCATTTGGTCGGTTCCCTTTGCATCTTGATGGTTGCTTTAGCCATGCAGAAGCTTTGCGATTTTATGTAGTGTCACTTGTTTACTTTTTCCTTTATTTCCCTCAGCCGAGGAGGTATATCAGCAAAACCCACAATTTAAATGGAATGGAAATAGTAATTTAAGTTTAAAGCAAGGTAAAATTGTTGATTTAAGAGCAAGCAGAGTGAAGGATATGAAAGCAGGACACGTGATGTCTCCAGTAATTATAAAGATGCATCTAGTCTCTAGTTACTTCTGACAAAGCTGTTTTTGTGATTTATGGCAGGTGCTTATTTATAAACCCAGTGCTGCACAGACCCAGTGAAAAGCATTTATCATTCTGCTTGGCTTTCTTTATTAGATAACTGTCACATAAACATAACCTAAATCTGGAACCTTGCTAGTCTGGCACGTAAGCTGGTGGCATCTCTTTGACTACCTTCATTTTTCGTATGACCTCCTGCAGCCAAGGAGTATTTGACAGTGAGTATCCTTAGCCCCTCTCTTTTATTTGCCAAGCAAGAAAAAAGTAAAGTCATTTAGATTGGTGGAGGGCAGCAAAGTATTATTTATCAACAACAGGCAACTCAATATTGATTTTGGTGAAAACGGTCTAACCTCTAGCAGTTCTCAGTTAGTAATTCTCACTAACCATTATAAAATCTTTTATTGTTTAAGGCGATGTGTATTTTGACAAAACAAAATTAACCAATAAAGGTGTCAGTCATTTTGAATCCAGGTAGCAAATAAACTGTTCACTCAATAGGATAGAACATTTTTAAAGTCCTGAGAAATTTTATTTTCCAGGGATTCCTCCACTCTCCCATACAATCCTACTTCAAATTGTCATTATCTTCATTGGAATATTCTCTACAATTATGAATTAATTTATTGAAATTTAGGATTATTCTTCATAGCTTTTATTTAATGGTTTATAATTTATTATCAGTTATGTTAAAGTATTGTGAAGATTTAACTATAAATTGCTAAGGATATAATGTAAGTTATTAAAAAACTAGTAAATCAGTATCATATATAATAATGAAGATGAGTAATAGGTTAGAAATTTGAGACCAATTATGCAAATGATACTGATGTAATACTATGTTGTTTATCCTGGTTTTTTTTAAACATTAAAAACTTAGGGTATGAATGGCTAAGATATGTGTTAAACAAGTTAGTTCTCATTTTCACTTGCTTTAGGTTGTCTTATATTATTTAATACATTAAATATGATGCATAAATATTTCTTGATATGATTAAGTCTAAAATATTGTATAAACTGTGATTTTTTCACTGTCCTTCTTAAAAAAATAAAAGAATCTCCTGCTTATATGTCCCATATTGCTCACCAAAATTATTTTAATTTTTAGTCAAGATATTTTCAATGTTTATTTCTATAGATAAGTATTGCCAATGGAAAAAAATTAAAGAAGTTTAAAAAAAGTAAAAGCTTTAAAATGAAAAACATTTGAAATTTATACTTTAGTCACTATGCAAATATTATTTATTGAATTGATTATACAAATTATATATAATATATGATATGGAATATAATGAAGTAGATAAATATTTGACAAATACAAAATATTTATATATACATTCTTATGGCTGTATTATAGAACTGCTATTCATTTAAAAGTCTATTAATGTTTTCTCCTCATTGCAATGGGAAATATATACTTTATTTTTTCTTTTCTTTTAAAACTTACACTATTAAAAATATGTTAGAGAAACCCGTATAAAGGACACTAAGGAAGTAATCGAGTAAACAATATTAAAATTGTCAGCCTACATAAATGTCCTTATTCTTTACTCTTTTCACTGTTATTTGTGTATTTAAATTTAGAGAAGGTATCAAAGTACCCTGAAAGAACACCAAGTTTCTGCCAAGTCAACAAGTTAGAATGAAGATAATTCTCACACCATCGTGAGTAGCAATAATTTGCTACTGGAAAAGTAGCAAATTATAAATTTCCTTATAACAAATGAAATCTCTGCTATGCAAAAATCATTTTGACATATATAATGTCTACTTGTCCAGCAAAATTTGTATTTAACTGGAAATGAGCTTTTAGCATTTCTAAGACCATGGTATTCAGAGTGGAGTTGCTGAGTCATGGATTTATAGAAAGGGAGAATTGTTGAGACAAACACTTGCAAACACTAACAAATCTGAGGGAAGAAATCACCTGCATTGTAGAGCATGTCCCTGAATTATTCTGTAGCAGGTTCACTACAGGAATTTATGACGAGCAGCTATAGCCTTTCCAAGTGACTCAAAATTGATAAGTAACATCACAATCATTTCTGTCATTTGAAATAGGGTAAAAAAATGGTTCATTCAAGTTTTCATAGCTGTTTCTCTTAATATTTTTCTTCAGAAATCATTATTTAGCTTTATTTGCCTTTTCCTTGTGGTCAGTCTATTTATAATATTAAATGTTGCTGTATTTAAAGATAAGACTCTCCATATTTTCCTCGTGATTTTAGTTAGTAAATATATTTTACATTGTGATATTTTCAAAACATGTTTCTCCATAAAACTATATTTTTTCATAAAAATATATTGGTGGTAACATAGAAATTAGAGTCTACTTTGACATATATAAACTGAGAAATGAATGATGAGCTAGAGCCATGCAAGAGCAGCTTCTAAATTTACACAGTATCTGAAAGCTCTGATTGAGACTAATTTTGGAAACTGTAGGGAATAGAGGGGGGAAAAGAGACTTGAAAATTATTGATCAGATTTTTTAAACAAGGAAAATAACTTAATTTTATTCAAGTTAAAATATTTAAATTACTATAAACCCCAAACAGTGAGTTTTAAAGATTTGGACTATGAATACCAAAAGCCACAGTGGTCATGAGATTGGAGTGTAAATCTGTTCATGGCAGTTCATGCTACAGAATTTCTTTTGTTGTTTGGTAGGTTATTAAGCTGTATAATTGATTGAGTGGGCATTGCATTATTATTTTTGTTGCACTCTTAAGCTAATGAAAAGTTATCCAAAGTTCTTATAGGAATACAAGGGAATTAATGGTGATTATTTGCAATACCAGATCAAAACTGAATAACAGGTCATAATTTAGAGCATGATTAGTAGTAGAATGGCTAAGATATATATATATATATATATATATATATATATATATACACACATACATACATACATTTGTATATAATATACTATTGCCAAATATAGCTTATGATAAATTTTGACTCCCAAATAAGTCTAGACTATTAGGTCAAATTCATTTGTGATGTATGAATATGAAGCACTATAAACAGTCATCTTCTTCAAAATAGTATTAACATAGATTGACTTTAATATATACTGTAATTCAGGCTTTTTATTTAGTCCATGTATATATAATTACTGAAATATTTTACATGTAAATTGTATAGTATTTAGCAAGACTGTATCTTAAAAAGTAAAATGTTAATTTGAACTGCATCCTAAAATAAATGCCACAGCAATATTGACTATATATAATCTGTGTATAGAGACTTGAATACATGAATAGAGGTGAGATCTTTAACAGAAAGTACCACATAGAAGAAGCAATAAATAAATGATAGAAAATGTCTACTTCTCAGGCAACAATATAATATGGTGTAGTATTCAGAGAAATTAACCCCCCCCATTTTAGTCCAGTTCCTGAAGAGAAAAGGCTACCACATATTTTTTGCCAACAAAAATTAAATGCTAACAAGAAAAAAAATTTCCTTACAACATCACTCAGAGTTCAAAAGTCATAACCTGAGATGATTGTACAAAATATATATTTAGTGAAAATCATGATTCACATTCTTCACAAAAGTTACCTGCTTAGAGTTCAATTGTTCTATGTGGTACACAGAAAACAATAGAGCTCCCTCATCTTCACTTATGCCTGCAAACTTGGGCATTTGACGCTTCTTTCAAATGGAACCAATTATATATTCTCTAACATATTCTCACAGAATGATTTCCAAATGGTATGTTTTTCTTTGGAATTAGGTTTATTTTCCCTTAATTATCAAAACCAATTTTTTTTGGAGTGAGAGTGCAGTACTTATTTACATACTGTACTAAAGAGCTCGTCCCACTGAGAGTCTGACCCTGATACATACTCATTATAGAAATAACATAAATAACATTCCCATAAATTAGGATCAGTGCAAAATAATTTAAAAGTGAGTCACATAGGTGACAAGGTAGAGGGATATTCACTGTCATATAGGCTCCTACCAAATGAACATATTATTTCCCTGCCTAATACTAGCTAGTCCTTATGCAATTTATATACCATTATATCTTGTTTTCTGGCTATGTTGGAAACCATCAGCTCTCTGAAGGAACCCGCAGGCTTCTATACATTTATATAATTTTAGTAACAACACGGCATGATCATTTGGAATCCTACCATGAGATTACCCTAACCAAAGCAAGTAGTGTCCATGAGTAGTAAGAGAGTTTAGTGTTTTAAATATATTATGTGATGTCTTTCCAATAATCCTAAAAAGTCATGGAGAATAGTTCATTATGGGTAATACACAAGCTTTGTGAGGTTCAACTAAAGGTCTGGTGGGAGATTAAAGCCAGGTGACAGAGAGAAGGACTAACTCTACAATGTCCCAGATTGAGTTGGAGGAGTGGCTTGCCTGGAGGAGGGTGTGTCAGAGGCCCTCTTGTTTACCATATTTAACTCGAATTATGCTGAGGGGAGCAGTCCAAGACTTCCTCCCCCAACACCAAAGAACTGTTGGTATTTTCTGTCTGAACCATTAGGGCCAAAAATGGAAAGCAGTTTCAAGTAAAGCCATTGACCACCCCATACTCACCAACGCAGCTCTAGTCTTGACAAGTGAATCCACCCAAACCCTCGAGTCTCATTTCAGGAGGTGGCAATGCAGATGGGATTCTAAAATAAGACCTATAGTTCGTACACTAGCTATTAGGTAAACAAGGTCATAGGCATGTACTTTATAAAAAGAGAAGGAAGCAAAAACGCACAAAGGTGAACAAAAGCAGCAGGTCATAAACCAGTTTCTCAGTCCGCAAGACTATGCAAGCCCTTCTGCTGGAATGAAATCAATCACTGTCCATTTGCAGACCTTTTTTTCCTGCTATTTGAGTATCTTTCATGATGTCATCAGGTGCTGAGGTAAATTCAGTGTGGCATATACAGCTTTAGAAAAGCAGTTTAGTTCCCAATACTTCCTAGTCCAAAGATGGGAGGAGAAAAAAAAAAACATAAGCTAGGAGGGTTGAATACAATGAGAAGGTTTTAGGACTCAGTTCAGTTTACTAGGGAAAAACAAAACTTTTGATGACAGTTAACTACACTGGAGTCCAACATCCATAACTGAGCATTGTGATTTCTACTGCAACACGATTTGTCTCTTTAAAATCATCCTTACTTTCACAGAGACTGCATTAAGTCTGCTGTTAAATTGGCCTGATTATTTGCTTGAACACAACAACAATAGCAAATGACCACATAAACTTTTAAAATCTGCTTTGCTCGAATTTCACAAGCAATCTGCAGATTTAGCTTTAGTCAGACCCTCAGGGCAAGGAAGCTAAGCCTCACAGTTGCCATTAGACTCTACCTTCAATAACCATAGGTTTGGGTAAATGCCTCAAGATTTTGCAGTCCCACAAAATGTTTTGAGGTTTCTTTCTTATCATCTCTTAGGCAAGTAACCTTCACTCCTCACATGGAAAGACTGCCAGGACCCACAGGACCTAACAAGGTACTAGGCTGTTTCTGCAGTGGGCTTCAGTAGCCTATCTCAACTCATTAAGTGTATCCAGTGATATCCCGAGTCTAAGCACGCCACTCTAAGACATGACATTCCGGCCAAAGTCTTGGTTAACAAAATAACAATTAGAACTGGATCTTATTGAATTTGTCCAAAGAAACATACTGCCAGGGCTCACTCATTAAGAATTGCCAATTTCTGGAGGAATCAGATAGAAAGAAAATTAGTAAGCAAAAAAAAAATCCTTGTCCTTTTAACAGAGTGAAAAGGACAAACGGCAGCTCTGTATTAGAAAGCTAAAAATAGGTAATTAGCATTCCCTAGATTATCAAACACATTCACACTTTTGAGGGACATATGTCCATGAGATAACTATTAGAAAGCAAAACTCACGGATCTAGAAATAGATCATCTGAAATAAATTAAAATGAGTTGCTCGAACAGCTAAGGCTTGTCCGTGCTTGATAACGTCTATCTCAGAAATTTGCATTTTAGAAGAATGCTTATAAAAGAGTTCTTGGAGACCATATATTTGCACGTCAAATGCCGACTAAGTGTGCTCTGACCTGGCACCTCAGTTCATGAGGCTGGAGCACCATCAGTTGGCTGGAGCACCATCTAGTACATGAAAATGTGGTGAGTGTGATCCCTGATCAGGGCGTCTATAGGAGGCAACTGATAGATGTTTCTCTCTTGCTTGGTGATGCACACTCGCCCCATTCATTCATGTGCATTCTCTCACCTGCCAAATGCATGCAACCATGTGGGGCCTGCAATAGATCATGCGGTCTCCAAAAGATTAAGCTTTTCTATGAAGCAGAAACTCTGGACACGGGCTTCTGTTTTGGCCTTGCTGAAGGCACTGTTGGGCTTTTTCCATGGCAGGATGAAAGGAGGATATAAAATTGGAAGTCCAGGGGCAGCCTATCTGAATAAGCCATTTTGCCACACCAGTTTCTCGTGTATGGGTCCTTGCAATGCCTTTTTGTGATCCCATGCAAGAGCCCAATTTCCACTGACAGCACTAGGAATATTTCACATCCAGATGGAATTACTGAGTCAATCAGCATTGTCATGGTTTGAGGAGTGGATCAGGAGGGAGTTGTTAAGGGAAATATGTACTAACAAAAATCTATGCCTATGACACTGACTTAGAGAGTCCTAGGCATAGGGATGAGATGATGGGAAGAAGCCAGAGTGACTATTAAGAGACTTGATAAAAGCAGTAAGGACCTTGAGAAACAAAGAGAAAAATTGTTACTGGGAGCTGGAAAATATACAGACATTCGGTATACAGTGGCACACAGTTTGTAAGCACTGACTTTCAGTGCCGTCAAGAATGGGAAGGGTACTTAAAGAATGTGTGGCTTGCTAGGGAAACGCCCATGCAGAAAGTACAATGTGCTCACTGGCTTCTTCTAACTTTCTGTGAATAAATATGAGAAACAAGATATGCGCTAAGGAAAAAGCACTGTTTTGGAGCAGAATATAGAGAAAATAGCAAAAAGCTAACATTTGGTATCTGTCACAGGAAACACCCAACAAAGAAATGGGGAATTTTTCTTCCAGAATTATTACTAGCTTGGTTTGAAAGATCAGTTAATACAACCCTGGCTGTCTCTAGGTTCAGGAAACAGGGTGAGAGAGTACTCAGATCCCCTGAAAACACAGGCCATCCAGTCATAAAAAAAAAAGGTGATTTCAGAAATGGGAGCCAAGATCCCAGAAAGAGAAACTAAAAGCAGTGAAGAAACACTCTCGGGAAATAAAATAAAGCTCTACTCAAGGAATTGGTGTCCTGTGCTCGGTTGGACTTCAGAATTGATGTGGACCAGTGGCTGCTGTGTTTATCTGATATTCTTCCTTTCTAAACAGTAGTGCCTATGTCTGTCTGTCCGTTGTGCTGGGTGAGTCAGCGGAAGGTATCCTGTCTCTTTATATCCCAAGTTTTCTGAAATAGAGAAATTGTCCTTCAGAAATCCCACCCATAGATGGTCACTGTACCTGGTAATTATTTAAAGAGGACCTCTTAGAATTTGTATCAATACCCTAATGAGATAAAACTCCTGGAGTCTTTGGAGATGGTGTATTTAATATAAATATAAATATTTTGTGACTGGATAGTAGACTGCAGTTTTTATATGCCCACAAATTATCTGATACTCCTCCACTGAAAATTACGGTCTATTTTCCACCCCTGTATATATGGGCTTATTAAGAGAACACTTTAAATAAATATACACCAGATGTAGCCCTTTAGAGGACTAAAAACCTCTTCTGTTTTACTTCGAAGTTCATTAAGAAGTCAGACTATCCTGCTGAAGAGACCATTTGGAGCAGCAATGATACTACAAGGAGATGGAAAAGATCCCACCTGCACGTTTTCCAGACTTCCTGCCATGGCATCAGGCATGTGAGTGATGTGCTATCTTAGACCTTTTGCACCACCCAGCTGTTAGCTGGAATCTACTGAGTGACACCTGTAGATACCACATACAGGAAAACAGACCTGGTGAAACCTGCCTGCATTACTCACGTACAGAAATACAGCTATAAGAAAAAATATTTTTGACCATCATATTTTGTGGTAGTTATGAAGAAGTGATAACCAAAACAAAGCATCAGTCATCACATATTTTACATCTCCCTTTGCTACAACAAGCATTTTCTTTAGATTGTGGCAGAACTAAACCAATAAAAATGTATTGACTTAAGTATCAAAATTTTTTAAAATGCATGGGGCATGACTCACATTTTTTTCCCTTCTAGAGTCAGAGTTCAATAGAAAGTCTGAAGAACACATCCCTCTTTAATTGTATTTTTTCTTGACGTAGTCTGCAGTACATTGAATACATTTTAAAGTTAAACATACAATTTGCTATAAGAATACATCAGTTTCTCTCATCTGGTAAGTTTAGTGTTGATTTTTATTTCTAGCCTGAAATTGTGAGTGTTGCTGACTTAACAACCAGCTCATAGAAAAGAGACCATTATTCAATATGATAGGACCTGCTAGGAACAATGTCTTAGATCACATCACAAACATTGTTAATGGCAAAAATGTGGAGACTCTGACAGATGGAGCATGCAATTCACTGAAAGACATTCTGCTAGTTAGAATTGCATATGTCGTGACCTCATTTTCCTCTTATAGGAGAAAGTCAAGGTTTTTGCCTCTGGACCTTAAGAATACCATATCACATAATTCCATGCTATCAATGATTATTTTTTTTTGAAATCTACATCAACGCTCAAGCCTGTATTCAAAACATTTAAAAACAGGCAATATTATTTATCTCATGACTCCATCTGGTATAATATGAACTGTAATGACAACACCTGTAGAGAACATTCTAGGAAGTAAAAATATCAGCCTGCCTTCCAGCATTCCTATGGATATGTCATGTAAAGCAGATGGCCTGAAGTCACTTGGTATTATTTAGTACCCTTATTAAAACTTGTGCCACATTTCACTAGGATTTGAATCTATCACGTCAAAAATTATTTCTGTATGTGCTCATTTGTTTAATTATTAATTAACCAGATCATTTCAGTGTTTCCCAGTTTCTTCCATGCAGTGTTTATTGCCATCAAAAGGGCAGTTAAATTTAAAAGTCTTGTTAAAAAACCTGAGAATTTAACATCAGATTTTCTCATAGCCTTTATGTTAACAGCCATTGTGAATTTTCAAACAGGGTTATAAACGACAGCATATTCCAAGGTTAATGCATCTTGATAAAACCAACCCATGCAGTACCTTTTGCAGCTAGCCACTTTGAATGTTCACTTACTCATTTATAACTTTCTGGAATTATTTAACAACATGATAATCAAAACTATAAAATTATAGAATTAATTAAAGTTAATCTACAGTAGTAACTTCTAGAATCAAATTATAACCTATAGTGAATTAGAAATACTTGGCAATTCTTCCCACCCTGTGCCATTTAAGTGATATGCTGTATGTAACATGTGCTGCTCTCGAGAAAAAGGAAAACATAAGGAAGAATGGCTTTATTTGTGAGCGCCCTCACCTTGCCACCAGTCCATGCTTGACTTTTATTTTCTATCTCAGGACAATTTACACTGTGGACACAGCAAGTAGCTGCACAGGGAAAATGTAACACTAACCTAAAAATGAGCAGAGAATTGCCCTCAAGTGGAGAGTCCCATCAGGGTAGCTGCCAGGTGTCAGGCTCACTGCAGCTGAACTGTGGGAACTACTCTATTTCCACATTTGTAATTTGTGGTTCCAATACCTGTGGAGCTCTATTTCCACACACTGTGCAAGAAATCATTTATAGAAAGCATAAAGTCACAAGTAGGAATGTCTTTCTTATTCTATTAGGATTATTTTTATAATGACTTAATAGACTTTCCAATATGGACAGGAATATGTATTTAAAAAATCAATGCCAGAGTTTTTTGTTATATAAAATAATTCTTTCTGTCTTCTTAAACTGTGGCTCCCTGACTCCACAGTTGGATGTTATTTTAATGCTGTTAGACTAATTGTTTTTCCTTTACTTTCATTTGTACACTTCAGTCACATTTGGAATAAACTTTATCTAAAGGACAATTCACTTACAATATAATAATGTTTAAAATGGTCATGTGCTAAATCACTTTTATCAGAAAGAATGTGATTGAACAATCACTGTTGCTACAGTTTCTAACATTCTCACAGAAGGAGCCCTGAGCAGTGTGGCTCAGCTGGTTAAGCGTCATTCTTTAAAGAGAAAGGTCACTGATTAGATTTGGGCTGTGGGCCCATCTGGCTCAGGGAATCTGCAATAGGCAACTGATGGGTGGTTCTCTCTCACATAGATGTCTCTCCCTCTTTGTCTCCTTCCCTTCCCCTCTTTTTAAAAATCTCACAGAAACATTTGGGGGTAACAAAATGTGTTGGGGTTGAGTCTGTTTTTATAGATAAATGCTTTCTGAAGCGTAAGAAAAACAATTTGACCTTAAAGGCTTTGTATTCATTAGTTACAAAGACAACAATAACAAATAAAAAAATTACTTAGAATATATAATACCATGAAAACACACTTTAGACCCTAGAAATGTAATAAAATTCTTATATTCTAAAAGTAAACTAAATTGTATTCCATATTTTTAAAAGCTTATGTTTTTTTATAATTAAACAGAATAACAGATATAACAGTTGAGAGATTTTTAACTCAGGTTACTTTGATTTTGCTTCTACAGCACTTGTTAATGAAGAAATGATTAAAAACGATTGAAAATAAGCTAAAATTTTGGGCTCTACAAGTAGCACATAGAAATTTATTTTATTAAAATAATTACCAGATGTGAATATATGCCTGGGGCTGAAATTTTTCTAATCTAATATATCCGTTTGCATTATGAGGCCACCCATTTTCCAATGAAAACTCTTAATTCACAGAATAAGCCATTTCAAATATAATCATAAGAAAATAGATCATTTCTCTATTTTGGAAGATGGAACATAAAACTTCAACTCTAAATATTCTCAACTGACAAGAATGACTTCCTGTCAAGTCTCCACATCAACCAGTGAGTGATAACTAAACTGAGAAACACCAGAAGAATTATGGGCAACTTTAATTTACTTCCATTGTCAGGTTTATATTAAAAGACCAGCTCTTGCCTCTTATTCCAGGAAAAAAGAAAGTTAGAATGTTAGACTTTGCTGAGCCCAGATTGTCAGCAACGTGGCTTCCCAAGCCTTTGACACTGCCCAGCCCAACTCAGTCCCAAAGACCTTGTACTCCCGTCTGCAACCCCTGATTCCTTCTAGCTTCTGAACTAAGTAAGATCTAGCTTCTAAACTTCACGGAGTGAAGCAGATTTGTTCATTTTATTGCACCTTACACTTTGGGCTCAGGAAACAGTGATTTCATAATAGTGGAATATTACAGCCTAACATGTAGGATTCGATTATTAATTTATTATAGAATATTAGTCTTCAAAATAGCATTTACAGTTAATGCATATTCAATGTAAATATCCTGCATAATTAATTTTAGTTTTACTTTAAGTAAATCAAATAACCAATCACTCACCATAAATAATCTTATATAAATACCACATCAACATTGATAAAAAAGAAGACATATTTTTATTTTTTAATTTTATTTTTCTTTCCTATAGACAAAAGGCTTTATGTTTTTCATTAGAAAAGTAAGGTTTCTGGCAAATTTAGCAACATAACCAAGGAAGTATGATTTCCCCATGGATTGATTGATTGATTCATTTATTTATAGGTTCATCCATCTACTGACTAATATTTATTTTCTTCCTACATGTCAGAAATATTTTTGGTACCAGGCGCATAATAAATTATACTCCAGTAAACAAAAAATAGATGTCCTTAAAAAGCTATGGGGCCGTCGTTTTATAAAGCAGGAGAAAAATGAGGAGAATACCCGTGGTGGTGCTCTGAACTAAGAACGTTGGATGCATATGTACCGGAAACATTGACAAACATGAATTAATTACAGTGCACTTTGTGGACCATAAACTACAAGACTAGAAATGCTGGCACACACATACCAGAAACTTTGACAAATGTGTATTAATTACAGCACATTTTGTGGATCACAAAATAGTAGACTTCCTGGGAATAAGCAAAACCTTACTAACATTTCCTTACTTTAATTAAGAAGGAGCTGAATAGGAGGATAGAAAGTAGTGAAATCAGGGGACATATATTCTTGTTTCTAATCTATTAAACAAGTTCCCTGCCATCTCAAGGTGCAATAATGAGCGAATTTGGGGTTATTAATCAAAGTTTATATATTTATTGAAAACAGAAATAAGGCAAATACTATTATTTCTATTTAGGTTTTTGAGAATGTAGTGATGATCAAGTAAAAAATGTCTCATTTTCATGGAACATACTAGTGGGCAAGAT